TCTCTCTCTCTCTCTCTCAGATCACGTACTCTTCCAATAAAATGCAAATGAATTTATCACTCAATCTGATAGTTCGGCTTTACGAAGAAAACGTTTGTTGCATACAGCTACGGGAACCGTGGTCACAATCAACCGGTCACGCATCACGGAACCGGTCGTTGTTACATGACCTCGCAGAACCATGGATTCGCGGTCGATGCGAAACAATTACCAACTGATTGGGAACCGCTCTTCACGAATACCAACGACAACAGCAACGAAGGTGTCGTGCATTCGACACTTCCTTATTTCTCGGTTCAATTTCACCCGGAGCACACTGCTGGCCCTCAAGATCTTGAATGCTTGTTCGATGTATTCCTAGAGGTGGTGGTCGACATAGCAAACGGAGGGAAATCAACCTCCGTGAAAGAAAGGCTGAACAGAAAATTAAACTTCAACATAGAGCATATAATGGATTTATCTGTACGACCGAAGAAAGTGTTGATTTTGGGATCCGGTGGTCTCAGTATCGGCCAGGCGGGTGAATTCGACTATTCTGGATCGCAAGCGATCAAGGCGTTGCGTGAAGAATGCGTGCAAACGTTGCTGATCAATCCAAATATTGCGACTGTGCAAACATCGAAAGGCATGGCCGATAAGGTCTACTTTCTGCCGATTATTCCGGAATATGTGGAACAGGTATATTTGCGTTATAGAAGAATTTTATAGGAGACTTTATAGATATTGGTTTGTAGTACTAGAAGAATTGGTACTTGGACTCGTTCTTATTTTTTGACAAATTTTGGCCAATTTGTAGATGCTTTGTTATAGTAGAATTTTATTCATATTTTATAATATATTGCTATTGCTACATTGTATAATGCATTTTGGACGAGATAACTTGCTATATTGCGATACTTTAAAAGGAATCTCTCGCACATCTTCTCATGAAAACTTGATATATCTCGTCCAAAGTATCGGATAAAAGCTAATCCCTCGTTTTACAATCTAACTCCGAGATTTTGAACTGAATATTATTTAATTCGGCTACCATATTGTTTAATTCTATTTAACGCGAAGTGAAGTAATTTTTATTGATTTAATATATCAATGAATTGATATAAAATAGCTAGATTGCTATTACGTGTGATAGTTTATGATGGAGAGACAAAAGTACTGAATTTTATTGCCTGATTACTTTGTTGATCGTTGAAAATAATAATAATGAATTTCAGGTAATACAATCAGAGCGACCCGATGGTGTTCTCTTAACATTCGGTGGGCAGACTGCTCTCAATTGTGGCGTCGAGCTTGAAAAGAACGGTATATTCAAGAAATACAATATCAAAATTCTTGGAACTCCTATACAATCAATTATAGAGACAGAAGATAGAAAGATCTTTGCAGAACGCATCGCAGAGATTAATGAAAAAGTGGCGCCAAGTGCAGCGGTCTACTCTATTCAAGAG